TTCTTTTCTTAGGATCCCGACTTGTAAGGACCTATCAGGTCATACATAGTCTTTCCCAAGGGATCTCATAGCAAGTCTTTGGAGGCATCAATCCTAGCTTACGCGTCTTGGGTTTGTTCATCTGGCAGCTTTGGCAACGCTGACATACGGCCTGCACAGTTCTTGCGCAGTCCTTTCCAGGTGTAGTGTTGGCTGATGGTTAGTTCTGTGCGAGTCTCGCCAGGATGCATCAGCACACCATGGTACCATTCAACTAGCTTCTTCTGCATAGTTGTAGGGACGACGATTTTATCGTCCTTAACTACTAAGTCGTAAGACTTATCCCCTCTGGGGAAAGATTGCTTCTTGTAGTCGTTTGGCTTGTCCCTGAGGAGCTTCTTGATATCGTTGTCGTCTTTCTGACGATGTTCGATCTCAGGAACGAGAGAGGGAACTGCTAGGAAGTCCTCTTCGTCTGCAGCCATGAGCTCAGCGATCTCGCTGGCGTCCATCTGTTCTGAAGAACCGTCGTTGTTGGAGATGTTAAGTCTCGACAACGCATCAGCGACGATGTTCTGTTCGCCCTTGATGTACCGTAGTTCAGGGCCGTATTCTCCAGAATAAGGCGCCATCGCATTACGCGATCGGTATTGAAGTTCTTACATGTAAGATTCTTGTGGTCCGTATGTACAACGATCTTCTGTCCTAGAAGGATATTACGGAACTCTTTCAGAGTTTCTACAATACTGAGAAGTTCCTTTTCGGTAACTGTGTAACGTGTCTGAGCAGGTTGAGCTTCCTGCTGTAGAACGCGATAGTTTTCCCTTCTGGGAAATTACTGCACCTAGTTGAGTATCACTTGCATCCGTGTGGATAACGAATGTATCGTTGAAGTCAGGGTAGGCGAGCAAGGTTTCTTTGCTGATGATCTTCTTCATCTGGCTAAAGGCCTTGTCGTGTTCTGCTTCCCATTTTCCATCTTCGTTGTTTTGGAAGTCAACGAAGCGAGTGCCAGTACATGTGATCGTCAATCCACATGTCTCGATAGTAGTTCACTAGTCCAATGAATCTACGGAGTTCTTTCCTGTTGGTAGGAGGAGCGATATCTGGATCGCGTCTATTTTTTTGGTTATAGGTTGGATCCCTTCTCGAGTAATCCAGTACCTAGGTATCTCAAGTTCTCCTCTTGCGAAGAAGGACTTGGTAGCATTGATTTTAAGTCCGCTTCTCGAAGCCTCGGAGAACTTCATCCAACTTTTCAACGTGATCTGCTAGATCGCCGTTAGTTAGGATGAGTAGATCATCATGTATGCACGGACGTATTCTAGGTCGTGCATTAGTTTCCCATCTTCTCTTGGAAGATGTCGGGACTATTACATAGGCCCATTGGCAACCTCTGGTACTCGTACTTTCCCCCGGGAGTACGATGGTACAAGTTGTTTCGAGTGAGGTGACAGCTCGATGTGATAGTATCCATGTTCAGGTCTAGACTAGTAGCGTACTTGAATCCATCTAGATTCAAGAGCATGTCCTGTATTTTTGGGATAGGATAAGGCTTCCGCTTAATCCTTTTGTTCAGTTCCCGGAAATCAGAGATGAATCGTACAGATCCATCTTTCTTGGGAATGATAAAAGTTGGTGCGCCCACTCGGAACGGTTTACCTTCTTGAGTACTCCTGCCTCGCAGAGACGTTCAACCTCCATCTTAAGAGTGTTGGTATGGACCCGTGGAATAGGATAAGCCCTGGCATGATAGGGTTTAGCGTCAGGGAGAAGTTCTACTTCGTAGTCGTCCATCTGCCACTTTCCTAAAGTACCATCGAATAGGTCAGAGTACTTCGTCAGTAAGGAATGAGCTGTTCCTTCTCTTCCATGTTTAACTGATCTTGACTTTGGCAAACCTGCCTTAAGTCAGCTTGTTCGTATTTCGCATCAAGAATCTTCTTGAGACGATCTGCACTGTCATCAACAGCAGTAGGATCAGGAATGAAGAAGTTCTCTTCTTCATTGGTGTCGCTGTCTTTCATAGGAATAGATGCGCCGTCCCATTCCACTGACATGGTAGTGAAATCGAACTTGAATCCTAAATCAGAGAGAATGTCTCGACCTATGATCATGTCATACGCCCCAAGCTCTTGGTGACGTGTAAATCCCACTCGATAATTCTATCTTCGTGGAATTCAGGAATCATGAATGCACCTTTGCACTTCGTGCTGGTGTTTAATTCTCCTGCAGTCATCTAATTTGCCGTAGTGTTCATCAGTTGCAAACAATTCTTGTTTACTAGTTAGTGAGATATCTTCATCACTTTGGTATGAGAAATCGGAACATGGTTCCGTTGAGTCATCATCCTGGCCTAATCCTCAGATAGAGATTTCTCCATCCAAGTGATTGAAATTGATAGAGGAGTTGTCCTCATTATCAGAGTTTTCTGATTTGCGCTTGGCAACATGGTTGCGAAGTTTGCAAGTGGTGGTACGAGTATCGTCGATCTCGTTTTCTTCGTCATTGTCGGCGAGAGGAAGAATGGGTTTGTCACGCAACTGTTTCTCGAAGTTGCGGAACGCATGCTTTCCTTGAGCCATCTTCATGGTGAAGGAATAGGTTGAGGGTAGCTGAAAGCTATTGTGTAAAGATCTTTCGAGTGTTTTGAGTTTGAGAGAATGAAAGTTATGAGAGAGATTAGAAAGCTATGAAAACGAATCAACGAGAGAGATCATCATCAAGGGATCGTAGATCTGGCTTCCCACGGGAGACTATAAAGTGTGATAGAGTAGGTTGCGGTAGTAATCCTACGTCTCTCCACGATCCTAAAACGGAACGCGTGGAAGGTTTGTCTAGTCTGGATCTAGTAGCGTGGAAGTACTCCACGCTGGCTAAATATCTAGAGCGATGTTTCATCATCAACCTAGTATGACCAGCGCGGTCATTGAGAACCCTGTCTCAAATGACTATTCACGAGAGACTCAGTCATGAGTCGAACTCAAACCCTATCTAGGATCGAGTCGCGAATAAGGCTAAGAGCTGTGTATTGCACTAAGACCATGCAGAAGAAGCTGGTCGAATGGTATCATGGTGTACGGATGCATCCTGTCGAGACTCGCACGGAACTTACCATCAGTCAACACTCCACCTGGAAATGGTTGCGCAAGACTGTGCAGTCCATATGCCAGCTTTGCCAAAGCTGCCAACTGAACAAACCCAAGATGCGTAAGCTGGGATTGCTTCCTCCAAAGACTTGTGAGGAGATCCCTTGGGAAAGACTATGCATCGAACTGATAGGTCCATACAATGGTGTCAGGGATCCTAAGAAAAAGAATTCCTGTACACTTCATTGCCTGACAATGATTGATCCCGTAACCAGATGGTTCGAGATTGCTGAGATCTGCTCCAAGGCAGCAGACGAAGTAGCCATCGTTCTACGATGAGATCCAGTCAGGGTAGATGCACAAGAGCTGGGAATGGAGAGCTCTGCTTGTAGGTCTCACTCCTCTGGCACTGGGAATGGGCCAGCCACAAAGCTGGCTGTCACTGTTATTCAATCTCCACAGCAATGATTGAACAACTTACTCTTTGCCTTGACACAATCCACACAGGAAGGCTTCAACTGTGGGGGAACTGGTGCTACTGAGGCTGTATCTGGTCAACTATCCTTTCATTACTTCTTCTTCTTTTAACTATGCTAAAATAAGCCTTCAGAATGGGCCATACCTGGGAGTAACCCCAGTGTTTCGTCAGGATGTCTGCGGGGTTGATTGCTCCCGGCAGATGATGAAACGAGATGGTCCCTGCGGCAATGGCTTCTCTTTCAAAATGGTAAGAGAGAGCATGGTGCCTCTTCTTCAATGGGGAATGGGGCTGGGTGGAACTAGTCACCACAGACCCATTGTCACCAAACATGTAGGTGGGCCCCTTTACCTCCACACCAAGGTACCTGCGTGTAACTCTGGCTGCAATGGCCTGCTGGGTGGCAACCCTAGCAGCAACGAACTCAGAGCCGTAGGTGGCTGCTTCCACAGTGGCTTGCTTCTTGCAGTACCATTCAAATTGGCTCTGGTTCACATAGTGCAGTACACCAGTGACTGCCTTGCCATTGACCCAATCGTGGTATAGGTTTGCATCCACATAGGTCGTCAACACTACCGGCTTGCCCTTCGGCTGTGGGGCATCTGCTGGGAGTTCCTCCTGTGCCTCCCCATAGACCGTCCTTGTCCAGTCATAGGTGCGGTATTCCAATTGGGCGTAGTCTGGCTCATCGGTGCGGATCCTGATTCCTGCCTGGTTCATCTTGACCAAGAATCCAGTGATCCTCTTGAGTCTTTCCAGATGCCCTACCCTGGGTGCCACCCTGAAGGATGACATTGACATTACAGAGACTGCATGCAATATCAAACCTTCCAAGTGAAATTGCCCATTGCAAAGCTCCAATCAGGGACTGGTATTTTGAGATCCCATCATCATCCAGGAGAGGAGAGGTATCAAGCTCTGGGTGGTCGTTCTTCTCCACTGGACTGGTGACCTTAGTGGATGGATTCTCCCCAAACAAGGATACATACTGGGCTTTGACACATTCAATGTACTCATGGACAGGGTGCCGTGACTGTCCCTCTCAAAGTCACATCCCAGATGGAAGGTAACAGGCCCAGTTCCTTTGAGTTTAGTTCCACACAGGAGCCAGCACTCAGAGGGGACGTCTAGGGTGTCCAGTACCATCTGAATCTTTGCTTTTGTATCCCTCCAGCCCAACTCAGCAAAGTTTTGGTTGTCCTTGTAGGCCTCAGAGTGCCATTCGTCGATACAAAAGGTCCTGTAGATATCCTTGACCCTCTGATTGCACTGAGCCTTAGCATTGTCGGACCGTATCCTGTTCATGGCACCAAGCTTTCTGATCTCATCCATCACATTCCTGATATAACTGGCATCAGAGCTCCCAGTGGGGCGAAGTGTCCTGTAGTGGGAAGTCCTGCCAATGAAAAGTTGGGCTGCCTGCAGTGGATCCATTATCAATAGCTGGTGTGCTGCTATAGATTGTATCCGTGGCTACATCTTCGTGGCATCTTGGGATATTCAGGATGGGGTTGGGAGACACGATCTGGCCTCTCAGTGTCCTTCCCTGGGTGGCGCCCTTGGTACTGGGTGGTAGCATCAAGAGTTCGCTTGATAGTCTCATCGGTAACTCCTGAGAAGAACCTCCTGAGTTTGGCGGGGCTCTGAGTCTTGACCTTCTTGGACTTGGGTGGGAACTCAAGACCGCTGTGGTGTTTGGCCTTGTTGTTGGACCGAAGTGGTCCCATGTCCTCGTCGTCTGATACAGTCTCAACCTTTGGCCTAGCTTGTGTTGAAGGTGGTCCTGAACAATCCTCCCCAGCACCTGATGACAAAGGGGCTGCCAAAGGGGTGGACGGGGGGAAGTGCCGTTGGCGGCGTTGGGCCCGAGTCTGTACATGACATTGCCATAGAGGATCAGGATCAGAAGCATAACCATCACTGTCATCCGAGGAGTCCGAGTCATAACCGTGGGATTCCCACTCCAGGAGAGGGGGAAGGTCAATCTCGTCGGATATGATGTGTGCCATGGCTTCCACAATTCCACGACGATCAATGGACTGGTTCTGGCGGTCAGAGTGGTTGATGAAGTCATCGGCGAATGCTCGAAGTCGCCCAAGAGGGTCCAGTGGGAACTCCCCATCATCGTAAAGGGAGTTGTCCTGCTGAAGGAACCAGTCATCCGCAGGGACAGAGTCAAGACAGGAGGGATCCCAGGCATGAGGGCTGGTGAGGTCCACATGGGGAATACTACTAGGGGGCCGTAGTTGGACATAGGGTAGCCCAGACTTGATGGCCATGGGCACCCTGAAACCATTGGGGGCCACAAAATGAGGGTCAAGCCCAGTGACAGTCAGGGCCTTGTCATGGACACGGCACCTGAAGTGCTCCAACTGACCTGGGGAGAGAATGGTTTTGCCATTGGACATGGCAGCACCCTGGTGTATCAGACCAATGATGGGACCATGGTCTGTAAGGATGTAAGCAGCTGCCGTGGCAAGCTGGAGGTTCTGAACTGTATGGTCATCGATGCCACTGAGATCAATGAATTGACCGTAGCACTGGATAACCCTGACATCCTTGCCAAGGATGCAGCCATTGTTGGCTCCTCGATCCATGAGTGCTCGCCACATGAGCTTGGACCAGGAATGGTTGGAAACAGTGTAGATCACAGAACCGGGTGTCCTGGAATGCCCTGGAGATGACCGGCCCAGCACAGTAACTGGTCGTTCCATGCCAATTGCCGTGGAAGTAGCCCCTCCGAAGGTAGGTGGCATGCTACCCTGCGAGCATGGGTGGTGCCTGGGTTCCTGGGGCTGGACCTGTTCAGCACATAAACAGATCGCCCCTTCAAAAATCCGGCTCCGGCTCAGGTTCAGGCCGACGTAGAGGTATAGTGCTCTGAGTAGAGGACCAGTAGGCCTGTAACTTGGTGTCAATGTCATCACCCGTGGCCTTGGCAAAGGCAGATGGTAGGGCAGAACCGGTATCAGGGCTGAACGAAACGGTGTAACCCTGCCGTTTGCCTGTGTTGTTCGACATCATTCGACGGACATCCCCAGGGTGTTTGTTATTTGCCTTTGCCTGGGGTGCCGAATGTGATGGGGAAGCCACAGGTTTACCAACTGAAGGTGTCGTATCTGCCTGGTTTACGTCCAAGGATGGCCCAGGTGTGTCCCCGACTGCAAGGTCAGCTTCACTGTTGGGGTCCATCATGCTGTTGGCAACGTTGGCTTGGCGACCGGCAGGTGCTGGTGGCTGAGATGCCATCAGTCGTGGTCATCAAATTGATGCCAATTCTTCTTGCCCGTACTAGAAAGTTGGGTCCAATGTTGGTCTGGGAGCCGGGCAGAGGGGTCCCTCATGGCCGGAAATGCTTGGAGATGAGTGAGGTCATCCGTTGGACTATCCATGCCATCAGGTTGCCCGGCTTCATCCTCAGACTCGTCGATCACAGCCATGTTGGCTCTGCGGGATCTACCAGGGAATAGAAGCTTGTGGTTGACATCAAACCTGGTAGCAGCATTGGTCAGGACCTCCTTGTATTTCTCATATGAGTAGGACATGTGTGCACCATTGCTGCACATGTTCTCCTGTTCTCTGGCGCTGTTGTCATTGAGAACCTTGATGTCGATGAACGCCTGCTGTAGGAACAGTTTTTGGATACTATCACTGAGTTTATCCTGCTCGTTGGTCTTGGAATCGTTGTATCGTGTGAGAACCTCATCGCAGTTGATGATGAACTCCACTGCAGATCCCTTGGTTGTGGAGTACTTGACCCTGGTGAGCCAGTTGAGGGTCTCCACGGACTCCAGTGTACCTTCCACAGAGGTGTGGGCATCCTGGATCAATGCATGTAGAATATGAAAGCAGTCACAATCATGAAAATGTTCCTTGCCTATCACCATGCCCTTGGTTGTCTTGATGATTTTCTGCAGGACCGCGTAGAACCATTCGTTCATCCTACGGAGCTCAAAAGCAGACTCCTGGTCCAATGGCACATAATTGGAGTCGAAGAGAGCATACAATCCCTGTGCCCTAGCCGTTGTTATAAACACGCTGTACCATTGGTCGAAGTCCTTGTTGGACTTGAGGGTGGGGTACGCATTGGCATCTGGCTTGGCATGGAACAACTTGCGTCTGGGGCCATCTCCTCCTCCACCTCCTCCAGGGCCAGCTGGAGGGTCACCACCACCATCGGGATCCCAAGGGTCTCCAGGGGGTCCTCCTCCTGGGGGACCACCATACCTGCCCTTTCTGCGCACGCCTCTGTAGCTGTCATCACCACCATGGTACCCTGAGCCACCAGGATCTCCAGGATCACCAAATCTGTCTGGAATCCTATCTTGAGTCACCTTGTCCATGTGAGATGTCCCTTCTAGATTGGAGAAGAGGGATGGTTTGGACCTGGTTTTTACAATATCACTGTCTACTTCCGAGCGCAGACAAGCTGCGCTCGCCCAGAGCAGCTAGGCACAACTAGTAGAGGATTAGGTGAGTGGAGAGACTCGGCCATTTACTGAGCCGACCGTCTCCAGTCCCCAGGGTACCATTCGGGACTGGGGAGTCCCGGATGGATCCCACACGGCGGAAGGGAGTCCCGGGAATGTGATGTTCCACGGGACAGCCTTGAGTCGTGCAACCCAAAAGCCAAAGGCAGAACAGGGAGGGAGCGTAGTGCGGTGGGAGAAGTAACCCCCTGTCCAGGTGTAGGCAAGGACAGGGGGCCGAGGACTAGGGTAGGTTAGTCCTCGTAGAGTTCTTCGTGGAGAAGAATCTCATTGAAGTGTTGGGGCGCGTGTGCTGGGAGGAGGTGGCGATCCTAGGTGCCTCCGGGGAAGTTGTACACCCCATGGTCCAAGAACATCTGTTGGGAGTAGTGGTGGGTGGCGGCAGCGGCTTGGATGCGCAGGTAGCGGAGCATGGCATCGGACTTCCAGCAGCCGAGAAGGTGGATGGCAACCGAGTCAACATGTGCGCAGAGAAGGGCCGTGGCGCCACCAGGACGGAGGGAGCGGGCAGAGACCTTGTCAGGGTTGATGCTGGTGTCGTGGGAGATGAGGGCCGCAGCATGGCGGAGGGCGTTGGTGATGAACTGGGGCTTCACATGATACCACCGGTTGCGGGCCGCATTGAAGTTGTTGAAGAGGGGAGTATCGGCATCGGCGCCGTTGGTACGGAGGTGGTAGACCACAGGCGCGAGAGACTTCACTGGGCAAAGCCACGGATCAGAGGTCAGACGGTGGCCCATGGATTCGCCGTGGACAGCATTCTTTTGGTCAGTGAACGTAAACGTGGCATCGGTGAGGCACACGTGGTTCTTCACATCATTCAAAGAGATGGTGTCTCCGTGGACTTGGAGGCTGCCGCGGACAGTGAAGGAGACATCACAGAGGCGAAAGGCTTGGCTCCGGGATTCAGGGTTCCCGGTGTCCAGGTACTCCGCAGGGCGCAGGAGCCAGAAGAAGGCCAGGATGCAGAGGTCGCGGACGTGGCGGTTGAGGGTTCCCTAGGCGTCGTCGTCGTAGTCCAGGGCGTCGAGCATAGCTTGGAGGATGGAGAGGTTGACGGGGTAGGCTCGATCAGGGGGTCCATCTTCATCCTTGAGTCCTTTGAGGAAAGCAGCGAGTATTGGATGGTTGTGGTCGGATCCTGCTTTGAGCTTTCAGGGATCCAGGTGACCCAGGTCGGTGATCCCCTTCCCGACGGCGAGAAGGGCCTTGTCCACTGAGTCAGCTTGGACATTGTTAGACTGGCGGTAACAGTTTCCAAAGACGAGGAGGTAGCAGGCTCGGATCTCTTGGTCAGGGATATCACAGAGCAATGGGTTGACGCCGAGGCCCGCGCAGAAGTCACACCATCGTCCGAAGGTTCGGTCTCGGAGACAATGTTCTTGGAGGCGGTCTGCAGCGCAAGACGGAGATCAACTGTGAACTGACCTCGGGTGGCAGAGTCAACACCTGCCAGGGTCTGTGGATAGCGCTGTTCAAAGTGGGCGAGAAGTTCAGGCAGGGTGATGTGTTGCAGACGCGTTGCATCATCAGCCATCACGTTGGCAGGACCCGGGATGTAGGACGAGAGGGCGCAGTAGCGGTGCTCTCGCTGGTGTCGGCAGGCGTAGTCACCGCCCCTTTGGAGACTCTGGAGACGGCCGGGGTGTTGTCCGAGAGAGTGTAGATAGTGGCGTATGTGACACAGTGCCGCGCCGCTTGCAAGGAGTGTTGCGCAAGGATGGCGGCTTGCTCGAGGTCACTATTGGTGACGGTTCCCTTAGGGTTGTCCGTGGACACGAGCTGAGCCTGCACATCGGGAGGGAACGGGAACCTTCATAGGTAGGGAGTTTCCTCAGAGTCAAGTAGACACCGCCCATTCCCGCCTTGGCGGCGTCAGTGGCGCCGAAGAAGGATGGGTCCTGGGGGACGATCTCCGCCAAGTGTGTTGGGCGGTGGCAGAGGCTGGCAGCCAGATCAGCAAAGGCATCGATGTGGGATCTCAGCGCAGCGTTGATCCGGATTCTTCCTCCTTTGGACTTCGTGAGGGCGAACTGGAGTGCGCTGAAGAGTCCAGCGGAGCCCCGGATGGCTACAGAGACAAAGCGCAGTTTGCCAAGGATTTGCATCCAACGCTTGTGGCCGACTCTGCGACACCCGGCTAGTTCCTTGAAGATGTCGGCGAGCGCCTGCTTCCTGTGGGGTGGAAGTTCCAGAGTCTGTCGGAGGGTGTCGATGATCCATCCCAGAATGAGTTTTCGAGTGGCCCAGCTTCCATCTCCTTGCAGGAGTTTCTTGAGCGAGACTGCCTCATTTCGGTGTTTCTCGCTGAGGTTGGGGCGCGCGAGAATCTCGTCAATGGCATGGAGTAAGTGCCTATGTAGCGCTTTCATACGGGTCTTTCCACCTTGGCCCAGTTGGATGAAGTCATCAACGAACACATCATTTTGCTCGATGGGCTGAAGCAAAGGTCTATTCGAGGGTCCCGCGAAGTGGTCCGATTCGGCCTCCAAGGGGGAGGTGGCGATCCCAAGGAGTTCTTGCGTTGCCGCATGGTCCTCCTTCTCCCGTGGTCTAGGAGTGGTGGACGGGTCCAGGTCATCCATCGCCTCGGCATGATGCTCAAGTCTGTGTGGAGGACAGGCTCTGGGGGACTTCAGGAAGCGTTCCTTTGCTCGGTCGCAGATGGTCTCCGACATGCCACTGAAAGTGGGCGGCGACTTGACCCATCCCATAGTACATGACATTGGGACGGTCCAAACTTGGGGTTCGCGTGACGCACATCGTACAAGATGCGCGGCAAGGCATTTCCAAATTGCATGGCCTCGGGCGGCGCGTGATGTTATGTGGTTTCGTTGACGGAGGGCCAACCCCAGTTCCAGGTGTGGTCGCTGATGAGTCGGGGTTTGCGGTCTCTTTCCACCTTGACTGCAGCGGCAGATAGAAGGAGGGAGGGTTCGTCCTTGACGAGGTCGAAGGGAAGGACAGCCCAGAACTTGTTCTCGATGAACTCGAAAATTCCTCACGGAGGAAGTCGGAATGCTCGGTAGCAGATTTGTGGCAGCCGCGGTGGATGCATTCCTCCTCCTGTTCCGTCGTCCAGGGAGGTGATTCGTTTTGTACGGGGACCCATGGTCTCTCCAGTGACAGAGCAAGGGGATGGCAGGATGGTCGACATCCTCCAAGTTTGGAGCAAGGTAGGAGTGCCCTCTGAAGTCAGTGACAAATGCGACGGGATACAGCTTACAATTCAGCTTTACAGCTTTACAATTAGCAGGCTTATTCTAGAAAATAATCAATAACTGCTCACTTATTAAGAAATACAAACTTTACATCTCTTAGATCCTTAAACCAGTCAATGCACAATGGTATTGTCGCAGGCGCCAGCTCTGGAAGCTGGTTGCTTCCTAGCTGGAGGTTTTGCCATCATGATCTCCCCAGAGGTTGGATGACTACTAGGGCTGGCAGGCTCGATAATCTCCCCATCATCCAACGATGGATGGGCACCAGCGAGGGCATTCAAGGGTGTGGCACTGGGCAGCTGGTGGCTCGTAGCTGGGACACGCATGGGTCGTGTGACAGGCAACTCTCCACAAGCTAGCTTGGGAGATGGAGCCGTGGCTTCATTGGTGGGCAGCTGGTTGGTGGCCAAGAGGGCATCAGTCAATCATTGCTGGATGGCTTGCTGGATGGCAGTGGCATCTTGCTTGGAACGAGTAGCCCTGTGGCGCTGCTGCTTCTTTGGGCTGTGGAGCCGTTGGGTACCAATAGCGCTGTCACCAGTCGGCTTGTGGACGCCATCATCGCTGCCCATGGCTGACAGTGAAGTGGCATTGGTCTCCCCATGAACTGATGGTGTCAAAGCAGGTGTAGGTGCTGTGACAGGTGGCCTAGCAGCTACCACGACCAAGGCGTCCAGTTGAGTTGTCAGTTGGTCTTTCAAGGCAATGAACTGAGCTTCCATCTTTCGTTTGAAGGTTTCGTGGTCAGCTCTCATGTCTTGCTTGAATGATTCATGATCAGCTCTCAGGTTTCGTCTGAGGGACTCGTGGTCAGCTCTCATGAGGTCGAGTTGCCGGGCAACGGTGACCTGTTGCTGTTGAAAGCGGACCAGCACGTCTGCCATGGCTGGCGTATAAATGAGATCTGGGTGACAACTGGAGCTGTCGGGCGACAGCTCTGAAATCTCCCCATTGCCCAGCTGGTGATTGGTCCTACCATAGGCCATGGGTGCCGGCCTCTTCTCAGGAATGTCGAAGGGTGATTTGTATGCGTCTGGTGGGAACACCGTTGACACAGGTGATGCCGGTGTCTTCTCAAGAATGTCAAAGACGGATTTGTATTCATCTGGTGGTGGTACTGGTGGCTGTGTGTCCTGATGCCGGTGGCGGTAGGCTAGGTTGCTGTTGCCAGCTCCATCGTGGTGTGTGGGAGGACGGGCACAGGTGTAGCTACCTTGGACTTGGGGCCCAGAGTAGACGTGATGCCACCAACGTTCTGAGTAGCCAGGGGCATAAGGGTCACTCACATCGCTGTAGAGACCATAGAAAGACATGGTGCCTCTTGTTGTCGGTCACAGGAAGAGGTGTAGGCTGTACTTTGTGGCAACACTGGATCTCAGCTCTTGTTGCAGTGCAATAAAGGCTGGCTCGACTGTAATCTGGAATCCACAAAGATGACCTCCAGGAACCTTGCTATGGGCCTGGAAAATTCAATCTAGGTGTAGTTGAATAAGAAAAAAATAACGAGATTTTATTTTAAAGGCTACACCTCGTCAGACGATCCGCTGAACGTAGTTGAATAAGGTAGCCAGTGTAGAGGGGCTGGGACCTGCTTCCTGAATTGCTGTGGTGCTGGGAACTGGCTTGGTTTGT